CCTGGCCCCCTCACAAGCAGAAAGACATCAACTGTGTGGAGTCTGGTCAGCGTCGCGCGGCACGTTTTATAATCCTGGGGTTGCAAGACTTAGTCACGTAGAAGGATCCCTGACTTGCCAATGTTTTTTTAATATCAGGATCGCCAATGTTAGGATACCATTCCCAAATGACTTAAGCGGGTCCGACTTTAACACGCCCATAATACGACAATAATACGTGAGCTAATATGCAGCATCCATTCCAATTGAAGTTCAACGTTTTTCGTCTCGCGTTAATGCTCATAAGTATTCTTATTTGGTTCCGGCAGAACTGTCCCGGCTGTTCAGAACTGTGATTGGCTGCTTCTGAGATGACGTTCTACTCTAGAGGATACCCTTTCAGTTTCATAACGACCTAGGACGTTTTGGTTCCGGATTTTGCAGTTTACACACCGATAACGTTGGCGAATCCGAAAAATAAAACAAAACAAAACAAAATAACACTTCCTGCTTTCATCGCGTCTGTGAAGATTTAATGGTATTTTGTGAACGCCTATGAATCGCGATACTGAAATTTATATAAATGAAGCCGGAAAAATATCCTATAATGTAAATGTAGACTAAAAAAAAAAACAAAAATGTTACAAAAATGCCGCGACAGTTGTTCCAAATCGAGGTTGTGATTGGCAAATTATGAAAAAAAGACAAAAATAAAAAAAAAAGTATTACCCTTTACATTTCGAGTGTTCCCTTGTAAGAAGTAGGTCACAATGGCCAATTATCATGATTGCAATCAACTAGATAGCAAAAGTTTTGCAAAGATTATCATAACGTCCTTCTTAAGACATGTACCCATTTAGTTTCTGTGGCTACTTTAAGATAAGGAACCAGAAAATCAAGACCTTGACAAACAGTGGAAGGCACCTTGTATTACGCTTCCTTCAGTTGGCCAATTGAAGATGTAGAATGTGACAGTGGCTTGAAGTCACTGAAACTGTGGAATTAACTGCTGTGCAAGCAGGTGCAGAATTGTTTCCAACTTCTTCGGCAATTTTCAGACCTGGGCTGAGGATGTTTTACCGAGATCACAAAGAATTCCAAGACATCCGGACCTGAAGATCAACAAGAATTTCGCAAGCACTGGGACGATTTCCATACGGTCTCCCATTCCTTTGGCAATNCTGAAGATCAACAAGAATTTCGCAAGCACTGGGACGATTTCCATACGGTCTCCCATTCCTTTGGCAATTCTTTTTTTTCCGTGTCTTGCTTGAAATTACTTCGGCTGTCACCTGTCTTTCACTTTCTGTGTCAGTTGTCAAATGCAGGTTTTGTCAAAATCACTGGATGCGAAAAGCACTGAATTTCTCACAGTATAATCAACGCCACGGTAAAATTTTTCACAATCTCACTTGGTGGATTGGTGATAGTAGCTCCTATCAATCAGCAGCTGTTACGTATCAGGCTGGATTATTTTTCATTTCGTGACTAACCGTGTATCAAGGAAAGTACTGAAGAATACAAAACAGATTAATTCACTTGAGACGACTTATACCCAGGAACTTTGGTATGTACAGTTTCTTCTTGTCTTAGGTCATAGGTTATGCTATTTTGTAGTTCACGTACGTTAGACCGGAATTTCTACGAGCAGCGTTGTCCGGACACTTATCGACAACGACAACTTAGCCAATCAGATTGCGAGATTAGTAGCAATTGTGGTAAAAAATGTTATTAACTAGTGGCAGAGACTGGGTCATCTTTCTAGGTAATATAGTGATGTGTATAAAAACGATAACTTCACCGATTAATTATCAGATTAATTAAGACTCGCGCGTGGTCTAGCATTTACAGTCATTTTACTACGACTCCGCAGGAGTAGAACAATTCCTCTTTGTTATCTCGATTGCCATCACAATTTCCCCAAACCCAAACTAGTATTGACTTTTAGGTAGCTAGTCTCTTACGTAATCAGCATTTAAAGGACAAAAATTCAAAATTCTTGAACAACGAAGAAAAACAAAAAAGGTGATAAGTAAACAGTGACAGCCTGGGCGGGTGTGGCGGCTGAAAACTTAATTTGCCACGTTGAAAAGACAACTGGGAAGGAAATGTATTTCCTTTCAAGTCATCTTCGCCTTGTGTCATAACGCTACCTCTGCCGCTTAATCGGAACACTTTTCCGACTTCTTTCAATTCAAAAGTTAGCGTTAACCTCTTTGATTTAAATTTGAATCATTATTTTTACTAGCGACCTGCACTTCACGTTCTCGTCACCTACAAAAGTCGCTTTAATTCGTCATAACGCTACCTCTGCCGCTTAAACGGAACACTTTTCCGACTTCTTTCAATTCAAAAATTAGCGTTAACCTCTGATTTAAATTTGCATCATTATTTTTACTAGCGACCTGCACTTCANACGTATCAGGCTGGATTATTTTTCATTTCGTGACTAACCGTGTATCAAGGAAAGTACTGAAGAATACAAAGCAGATTAATTCACTTGAGGCGACTTATACCCAGGGACTTTGGTATGTACAGTTTCTTCTTGTCTTAGGTCATAGGTTATGCTATTTTGTAGTTCACGCACGTTAGACCGGAATTTCTACGATATTTAGTCTTTGTACCTTCTCGTGCATGCTATCGTTCTACATAATAGGTCAAAACAGTAATAAGTTTATTGAAATTTAAGTCGATCGCACTTTCTACGCTATGGCCGGGGAAGTAAAATTAACAAATCGAATGTGGTTTAGCGTGATCTGTACTCTTATCGACAACGATACGCGTCATCAAAGAGGTCACTCGTGAGTCCACAACATTTTGACCACTGTGATGACGCGTATCGTTGTCGATAAGAGTACAGACCACGCTAAACCACATTTCGATTTGTTTTTGACCGCAATGACAGATACAGATAAGTANCCACTGTGATGACGCGTATCGTTGTCGATAAGAGTACAGACCACGCTAAACCACATTTCGATTTGTTTTTGACCGCAATGACAGATACAGATAAGTAAACAGTGACAGCCTGGGCGGGTGTGGCGGCTGAAAACATAATTTGTTACGTTGAAAAGACAACTGGAAAGGAAGTGTATTTCCTTTCAAGTCATCTTCGCCTTGTGTCAAAGCGCTACATCTGCCGCTTAAACGGAACACTTTTTCGACTTCTTTCAATTCAAAAGTTAGCGTTAACCTCTTTGATTTAAATTTGAATCATTATTTTTATTAGCGACCTGCACTTCACGTTCTCGTCACCTACAAAAGTCGCTCGTGCATTCTCGCTAGTCCCAGGCCATCACTGTTTCTTAACGTAAACAATTACACGTCACGACTAGCTACAAGTCAAAACATAATTAGCATTATAATTCCATTACAGAACATGTTCGTAAACAAACCTTAAATTAATTGTATTCTTATGTGGATGGAGAAATGATCATTTATGACAAGAAGAGTAGAGTGTAGACCAGAATGAGGAAATCCACTTGTAAACACGTGACAACAAATATGGATAGCACGCCATCGTTGTCATGAAGGGTCCTCTCTGCATCCGCACCAGGACATAATTAATGAAAGATCTGTATGCGGACCAACATGGTATTGTTCTTCACATACTGCGGCTCACGGATTTGTTCTATTGGAGCAAATTCTACATACCCATAACCTTTGTAATTGCGAGGGGCTGTTGGCCTTTGAAATGCCAAGAGGTTGGGTTTAGCTACAAGGGTTTCACTGATGTGTTGGCGGTACTCAGCACCATCAGACTGATCCATGATGGACAGAGCAATCCTTCCAGTGAAGGGCCATTCCAAGATGGTATCGTAATCACCCTGCATCATATGAACAAAGAGTGCAACGTGTTTACCCACTCCGCTGTCCACGCCATTCAGATTGATCCGCATACAGAGCTTGTACCCATACAGGTTGGTGTAGAAGGCAGGGCTATGTATTGCTGTCATGACTCCATTGATAGCATCTTGGCGGCACTGTCGATAATTTTCTATCCTCCATATGTATGATCCATTACAGACACGTCCTTCATACTCTAACAATCTTGTTTCATAACGGTTAAATCTACAAAACAAGAAACAGGGTGCAAATTTGTTTTTTAAATTTAGGGAGCAATGGATTTCATGTTGTAACCTCAAATGCCAGTCACTTCCTCCATTGTCAAACCAAAACTGCCAGGGATAAGGGTTTTGGTTAAAGAACAAGATGATTCTGACTGAAATATCAAGCTGTCTATATTGAAATTCAAGAAGCTGTCTTTGAAAAAACCGACCACTCAATTTCCAGGCGTTCAGTTAGTTGCAGCGCGAAAAATGGCGAGCGAAAAAACAGGGGACAAGCGCAGCGAGAGAAAGTGAAAGAATGCCTGAGGGAAAATTTGATAAAAAGTCGCTCCGGTATACCAGGATCTGATACATGTATACCCACTGAATGGTCGATTTTGACAGGTTTGGTCAACACTCGTGCGTTACTCACGCAGATGAGAAATGCGATATGGCGGCGGGCAGTGCTGGCGACGGTCAGTGTAAAATGAGGTTAACGGGCCTACACAACTACCACGGGTCGTAACATTAGTACACTTGCCGTTCTTTTTTCGGTCTCTCGACTTTTTTTGGCTTCACTCGTGTTTATGAAGGGCACTTTATGTTTTGCTATTAGGACTAGGCTGTTTGATTAGAACTATTAGCAAGTACAGCATATTGCTTCTTTTCACGGATATCATACGTATCTTCGTCCGATGGTTCTTCAGAGAAAGCCGTGGCTTTACTTCGAGAAAGAACGCCGTGATTTTCCAGTCGATTCCTGTCGATCTCCTGAGTAGGTGTTCGCACGCTTCGCGAAACGAGTATACCCAGTCTGCGATCTAGCGTTAGTTTGTATTTTTGAGACTTTCAGCGATTTTCTTTCAACAATCCCGGAAAATTATTTCCCAACACATCGGCTGACAACTGAAAACCACAAGCCGGTGGTCGTGTTACGGGTCCCAGTAGTGGATGCAACCCCAATTTTTTGTAGCCCAGCTATGTTTTAAGTCGCCACTGACGACCTGGCGACCGCCAAGTTTCAGCCCTCTGGTTGTGGTCGAAACAAAAGAAAGGAAAAGCGGTTTGTGTTTGACCTGCTGTTAGTGGGGAGAAGCACTGAGCAATGACCCAGATAATGACTGAAAAGGAGACAACGGTTGAAGTACCTGATTGCCTTCTTACAGAATAATTTGCTTAACTACTTACCTTAGGGTCAATTCTTGAACTGGCCTCTCTTGCCTGATACGTGCTTCCTCTACCTGGCGTTCTAGATGATTTACACTATTATGAAGACCAGTGACAGTACGTCTTATGTCATCTATTTCATTTCGCTGATGCTGGGTCCTGGTTGACAACTCATTGAAAAATCCTTCCTGGCTGGCCTGTTCTTGAGGAAGAGATTCCATTCCACCCCTGGCACGTCCTGTTGAAGCACCTCTGTGCACCTCAGCGCGAGTACCTTCTGATATAATTTGGCCAATTTTCTTGGCCATGTCCATTACATGGCTTGCCATCTGTTCATTAACATGTTGATTCACCTCAGATCGTTTACCCTAAAACGAGACAGCTTGAATTATTGGAAAACAGCCTGCAAAGATCTCTAACTTAGGTTCATGATATATAGTACAAACTAGGAAGAGATCTTGCAGAAAGAACCGATGTTCAGCCAAAGTATGCTAACATTATGCTCTATATGGAACAAGCAATAGTCAAGTCTACAAATTTTACACTGAACGCAATGGTCTTACCGTAAATGTGCATCCCACAATACTAAAAGGACATACGACTTTCACAACAGGGCATTCTTTATCCAAATGTTCTTTCATCTAAGAAGATCAAGTAATATGATTATGTCACTACTTCAGATATCCCACTTGAAAGTTCAAGATGTCATTCTGATAATTCTCATTTTGGAATTAGCATAAATTTTGCTGTTTCGAGTGAGTCTAATTTCTGAGAAACAGTCTGTTAGTCTGGCTGATCAGATCGAAAAAAAAAGAATTCTTTTATTTCTTGTGAATTGCAAGAATTCCATCACATGAATTATAAGCTACATTTACAAGGACCACTATCTCCTGATCAGACAGTCTTATTGTTCATCTGAAGGAGCAAGTGCCTGTCACACTCAAAGATCAAAGTTGATGTAATTTTGAACATTAATTTATAGGACAGTGTACTTTTTTATTTGGCATGAAATAACTTGCCTCATCTCTTTTAATGTTTTCCTTTTTGCAATTTTTACACTGTTCTGGAAATTTGGGACAGGTTTCATGGTGCATCTGCAACAGAACCATTTCGCATCGTTATTCTGTTATATTACAATATTAAGACAAAATATTTTTACAAGTAAAAACAATTTCTATTACAAAGTGCATTTGTGTATGCCACAGGTTGATGTTATGATATAAACTCTAGTTGTATTTTGAAGTATAGCCTCTATAGTTAAAAATAAACAAAAACTAAAACAATGAATAAAAACTAGATCAAGACAAAATCTCCTTGATTACCATTACTAGTGCTGCAAAAATAGACCAATGCACCAGTGCATAACAATATTTTTCATCATGATATGAATATTGATAGCTGAAGTTGATATTGCAATATCATGATACAATAAAATGTGTGGTCACATGTCAACAAATGCAGAAATTTTGCACTCTAAATAACTTTAGTAGAATTCTACTAGTATACTAATGCAAATGCTGCAGTCTGATTGGCTGAGCTACTCATATACTATCAGCAATTAGAGTGCAGTGGCTGTTGGTGTTGAAGTTTTGGAACAAAGTTTAGATGTAAATGGATAATTAAATTCCTGATAAGACTAAAAGAAGGACATTAACGGTTTCTTGACTTTAAAAACTTGAAATTATTGAAAAAACAGGTGCACGCACATAAACAACTGCAAATTTACCAAGAACAATTCAACGCGTGCAATTTTGTTAAAGTGTACAGTTCAACAATGCGTAGAAAAATAATTAAAAACTGTTATTTGCGTTTATTTCAGTTAGAATTCTACTAAAACAATTAGATTATTCGCTCTCGATTTCTATGAGGGGATAGTTGATTCGGCCTTCGGCCTCATCTACTATCACCTCATAGAAATCTTGAGCTCATAATCTAATTGTTAAATAATAAGTAGGTAGGTAGGTAGGTTGCCTTTATTTATACACGATATGTAAGAAAGCTGGCAGCTTGTGGGGTCGTGCACAATACCTTACCTCTAGACTTTAAAATAAAAATTCACCAATCTTCACCAAAGCCCAGACTTTGATGACTATGTAGCGATTTAATATAAACATACAGTCTACAGTACTTTGTTTGTTTCTCTCCTTTGATTGTTTTACAATGCCTCCGGATGACTGTCATACAACATACCTTGTGCAGCCACCATCATTGAGCATGAAGCAAAACACACGGGCAATGGCAAATTCTTGTTGTTTGTTGCTTGTCAGAGACTTGTTGCATATCATATCGTGTATCACAACATGGCTAGTGGATCAATGTACATTATTGTTATCACCTGTTTCCTCAACAAGGTATGGTTATTGCATATGAGAAATTACATGTCCGTCAGACAGAATGTAAAAGGGTAAAGACAACCTCTCTACAGAATTTTGAATGTGCCAAAATTATTATTCTTCCTCATCCAAACATAAAGACAAACCTCCACTGCATTCCAGGGTACATCCTTTTTGCAGTATTTACATGGTATTGTCCTGAATGGGCAGTCTTGTTCTAAATGTTGTTTAAGATCTTTCCTTTGTAGCTGTTGTCCACACTCCTTGGGACAATTTACATCAACAAATGGGCACTCGTCTGAGTGTTCCTATAGTATATGGAATGTTCAAAAATTCAAGCAAGATAGTCCCAACGCATGGTCCCAATCAATCATCTAATAGTAGTCATTAGTACTCTTAGATAATCAACAAAATCCTAGTTCAGCTCCAGCAGTTTTGTTCGTTTACATTCCATTTTAACAATAAATGGAAAAGTGAAGCAATTAATCAATGTTTGCGAATTGAGCATAAATATTGTTTGTAACTCTTTTAATCACTGCTTCTTCCCTGTACAAACATATAACACTTTGTGAAAAAACTGGAACAAACTTTATCTGTTGATGTCTTTTATCAGCATATCAGCTTTCTTGGAATGCACTTCATTTTATTTGGCAAATTTTTCGTTCAAACCAAACAATTATTAATTTTGTTTGCCATCAATATCAGTTCCATTTAAAGCAAATTTATGTTTATGCTACATACCTCTAACTTGCCAAGGGGTCCCTTCCATGGGCAACCACGCTGTTTTTTCATTCGACAGAAAACATCATGAGACAACATTTCCCTTTTGGCAAAATTGTCTGGATAGAGCTATATTTATAGAATCAAATATAGGATAAATCAAATACATTGCCTGGGAAGTCAATAATAATATTGACAGATACATAACAATTGAATTTCTTGCATACAAACCTATTGCTCTGGAAAATGTGCCTACCCATAGAACAGAAGGTTTCTGGTTTATCCTCCCCCTCCTACCCGTTGGAAATCCCAATTTAGCTTCTTACTTTCCTTTTTAGACTTTGGGTTTTGAAATGCCCCTCCCATCGCATATTTCCAGTGAGGTACACAAATATATTTCCTGTTGAGTATTTGCTAGTCTGCTTACAGTCATACATTGAGTAGCCAAGTTGACAAAAAAAGGAAACACATGAGTTTGGACTTTTGTTGGTATGAACATTGTATTTTTTGAATACACATTGTATCTGAGTTGTGAGGTTGCAAATAATGTGCTGTTGCATTCTTTTGTGGCAGACAAATGGCATTCAGTGTGTGAGGAATGTCTTTTGAACAAAAAAAGAAATTCTTGTTTTACCTGCAAATTGAGCATGAAATAAGAAGGGATTTTCAAGAAATGATTAATTATTATATTCATAATCTGTGACCCTCGACCTGTGACCTTTGGACTTGACCTGCCTTCAATTTTAAGCCTTCAGTTAATCCTTTTAGTGACTTAATCATTGCAATGAAGCAATGATGCCAAAATGACTACATGTACCTTTAAATCTCAGAGTCAATTCAAGTTTTTCTTTAAAATAAAATATGCCAAATTTGGTGTACCTGCAATGCCCCTCCTTTTATGGACCCCTGCCTCTTCCCCAGCAACCCAAGTTTCAACATAAATTGTTAGTTTAACCCTTTTCAGACCACAATGTCAATGATTGTCCACACCTGGGTTGGAATTCCCCCCACCAATATCATTGACAATAATTAAGCCATAATGATAAAACTCAGAGGGTATAATTATCTGACTAGTACATCCAAAAATCTTGACTTTGAGGTAAGCTCCTAATATCACCTGCTAATTAGGTCATGATATCCAAACAGAAACCATTCCGGATCTGCAATCTGGGATTTGATTTTTTTGAAAGCATCAGAAAAAAACCAAAAATGACTCAAAAGTAATTCAAATCAATAATGCATTGCTAACCAGGTCTTAAAATGTAAAAATAGCCACATGATGGTCAAATTTTGTTAATACAACAACATCAAGTTCCAAGTAGCCAACACCCAACACAATTCACTGGTTACTTCAATCACTTATGCCGGATACTGACATACATGTAATCATGATCTGATATTTATGAGGAAATAACTCAAAAGGGTCAAAATAAACAGTGAGGATATTGTAAGTTATGTATACTTAAGTTCAAACTTTGAAGCAAGAGCAATAATTTTGATTGGCATTCTGCTTTCATTCAAACATACAGTATCAGATTTGTCAGCACATGCTGATTTTCCATGATGAAGCAGAGGCAACAGACAATCTTCACCATCTACGGGTATATTATGAACTCACAATGTGAGTAGCTCCCAGTTGGCTTGATAACTCAGTTGGTAGAGCACTGCACCGGTACTGCAGAGGTCATGGGTTTGAATCCCATTCAGGCCTAACTTTTTTTCAGGCTTTAATTTCACAACTGCTTAATAAGTTTTGTGGTTAACTGTGACAATCAATCATATCTTCAGACAATGCTGTCTTATATATCTGCTATTGTTGAGAAGTCACAAAGGCACAATTGGATCACACTTTGCTTGGTGTCGAAAACAACATGCCACAGCGAAGGGTAACACTTACTTTAGTCCAACGTACCTACAATGTAGGTCCGAAGAAAATAGAGAAGCTGAACAAAATTCCAGTGGAGATGACAATGAAGTGGACAAAGGAATGAGTAAAGATCAAGCAGCTTTTTCACTGAAGATGGACCATGTTTACTAAGAAAGCATGGCTGTCAAAACATGCATAGCTTGCTTTTTATGCTCAGCAAAAGATCACAATATGCAAAATCTTGAGAGAAACAAGTCAAACAAATTTACCCTAGGAAATTCAAATTTGCAAAAGAGAAACCTTGAGTAGGCATCCTGCAAATTAAGTTTTTTCCAAGCCAGTCATGGATCACAATCAACTTTGACCCCTTCAAGGTCCTGCAGGGGTCCTATTTATTTGGCATGATGGACCCTGGGACCGACAGAGATAGCTTCTGGTAAGAACACCGAGGCTACAAGCATTGGTCACCAAGGTGAAAGAAAAACATCTGGAAACTACATGTAAATTTTCTGAACGGGTCACCAAATTGGAGACTATGTAGTGTAGTACAAAAGGCTGACTGCTCATTAACATCGTTTTCTGTAGTATAATCACTAAGCCAAATGAATTCAACCACAATTTTTGCATGCTTGTCTTCTTTTCTTTTTACCTTCTTGTTTTCAATTTTTGAAAAGCAGTTCAGACTGTTTGCCAAAAAAGAAAACAGTAGCAAATAAAAACTACCAGTGTTGGAATTTTTTCTCATGATTTCCATGGGGGTTGTCATGGTGACCAAATTTGTCTTAGGAGCAACCATTTTACAGAAGGTCGCTAAAAGGCAATTTGTGAAAAACCTGAGCTTGCAGTCCTGACATGATCATCATGTAATTCAATATTTCGAAATCTGCAGTTTGTTTTAATTTTTACTACAAATATTATGTAATTAGCTTGTGTCTTAAAAATTGAAGTGTCCAAACAAAAAAAAACTCAATGTCATATTATTTTTCATTGTTGTTGCTTTCCAATTTGACCTCTTAAGGTGATTCCTCAGTATTGCATTGTGCATCCCTACTGCGCATGATTTGCAAGTCATTAGCGAGCGCACATGAGCGTGTGCACATACACAACATAAGAGATTTCCCTCAAGCTTAGCTCAACAGCAAAATAAATGCTTGTTTTCTCTCAAATGAGCATGGTGACCAACATTTTTTATTGCATAATTTTGGTGAACAAATTATCCTCTTTAAGTCAAAAAGTTCAGAAAAAAATTGTTCGGAAAGAAAAAAGGTATAGTTAAAAGAATGCAAAAGACCAATACACGAGGATGTAAATTATGACCTTGAAAACAATGATTCAAGGATCATTTTGAGTCACTGTGGTTTAGAATTGTGTGATTTTGCCATAAATTATTACATTGTTCCATGTGCCTGACCCACTGCAAAATGTAATGTCAAGTGATGAAATAACACTCATGGTTAGGCATAAATGGGGTAGGTAAATTATGTGTGTGAAGATTTCATCCCGATTTTAGAACAGCCACCTTTGTTTTGCTACAAATAGAAACAGGTATTCCTGTAATGGCCTTATTCTGACATTTTCGATGCTGCGTTACCTATGGTTCAGTCCAGGACTTATAGATGGGTTTCAAACGAGTTCAGAATTTGATAATCAGCCGAGGAATCATAGTCCTTGGCATATACTAACATGTCAGCAAGGCTTTGCTTTTCACATCACATGAAATTTCGAATGAAATGAGTCTTAGCTGCTCAACAACTTGGCAATTTCTAGGACAGGATCAATTGTTTTTAGTGCAAATTGCACTATTGGGATGGTTTTTACCTGTGATGGTATCTGCCAGGTTCCCATCGATATCATCTGCATTACATGCAGTTCACGAAAAAAGAATTAAGTCCAAATCATTTATGTCTGTGCAAAATTTTTCAGTTTGTAAATGAGAGTCTCAATTAAGTACTGCTGTTCACAGAGTAATGCTGTCCCCTCATTGAAATGTTTCTTGGAATCAATACTGAGATACTCATTTGAAGCTGTTTCTCTGTTAAAACCAGAGAAATTACGGATGGCTAGTTATGAATGAGTTTTGCTGAGTTTTGAAATTTGTTTTTGTAACAAGACATTTCAAGAGATTTCATGGCTTCAAGTAAAAACCTTATACAGGTTTTCGTGTGTCTGGTTGTTCCAAGTCTCAAGTTAGGTAACCCTGTCAATGGGTTTTGAAATCACTGTTAATTTGAAGAGGTTTCGTCGAATATCAAAACCAAAAAAAAAAACTATGATCATTGCTAGCAACAGAATAAGACCATACTATTGCATAACGATGTTATAATTAAAGTGGTTTTGTAATAAAATGAGCCAGGAAAATTATCCAGAATCAACTCCAATCTGCCCTTAACCATTAGCTACTATTGCAAACTCCATGATGTTTAGCTGTCTTGCTGGGAACAGTTCCATGTAGTTCTAATAAACAAAGCCACTGATCGACTGTTAAAATCAACCCTTAATCGAAGTAGGCTTGATATCACTTTTCCTAAGGTGAAACAAATTCTAAATTTTTTTTTTTTCGCTGTACATCATAACCAAGTGAACTTGTTGGCTTAACCTCATCATAACTGTTTAAGGTCCACTAAGTGCTGTTACCTCCAGGTAACTCTTGCACGCCTTGCCTGCCTATGTTTTGACTTAAGGAGGCTGGCAGCAGTTTTGAGCAATTTCTTCATCAGCTATACTTTTGTCAAATGCTACAATATTGGTATGCCATATATGCCCAGCCATAGGAGAGCAAATAATGGTAATCGTTATGACATAATAGGTTACCACAGCACCAATACTACCTGTTTAATACACCCTCAATTTATCTTTAGGTTCTTGTAACTCAAAAAGGGGGTCAGCATCCTCCATTTTTTTATTGAATTGTGATAAACATGATAAGATGTACCTTTTTGTAAAGTTAAAAAAATTATGTCAAGAGGGCCAGAACCACCTAAAATTTAAGGTGGATCTAGACCTTCTGCAGGGCTGTGTTCTAGCAGCACCCCGTCAGCTTCCATCTTTGGGCGACAAGAAAAACATACCAAGTTGCCCCGTTGGGCAATCTCCTTTTTGAGATTAAACTTAGAGAGGAAAACAGTCTTTTTTTCCTAGAGCACAGCCTGCTTCTGGACAGAATGTTTTAAACTTTGAGAGATCTTGTCAAGCTTGTCATGTCATAAAGACTACCATTGTTGGTTTACCAATGGCTGGGCATTTATCTGATACCAATATTGTTGACAGGCCTTCCGAAAGGGTGCAATAAAAAAAACCTAAATTATGCAAAATGTTTGGGGAAGATTATGCGACAAGAAAGGGCTATTATGCGGTAAATTATGCAAATTATGTGATTTCTTCCTGAGCTGAGATTTCCTGCTTGTCCACTGTGGAGATCTGAAGATGATCGATCACAACGTTGAATCTTCAGCCTACCATCTGCGTGGAAGGGATACATTCTTGCTCTATCTTTCTCAGTTCGTGTCATTGGAAACAGCAGGCATTTTAACTATAAACTTATCCACAAGGGATGTTTATTTAGAATTCCATGAAGGAAGCTACATTTTGCCATCAAAACAAACATCGCAGGGCTCGAAATTAACTTTTTCATTTGGGAGCCAGCTGGCCACTAATGGAAACATTTTGGTCACCAGATCGTAAAGTTTGGTCGCCAACTTATTTTTTATATAACTTACACGAGAACACGATTTTATATGTTACTTTGCATGCAAGAAAAGTCGCAATTGAAGAGCGAAAACAATTAAAAATAACACGAGTAACACTTAGTTATAAAGCTACTGTTGTTCTCAGGTGATATGTCTCTGGTCTGAAGGTGATGGTTGTCTCCATAGTCATTATAAATGAAGAGAAGCATAAAACGTTTTAAGTCCATGGTTTTCATTGTGAGACAAACGTGGGTCCTCGCGTATTTTCCCTTTGCTACTTCTTCGAAATGCCATTCTTTATTTTCAACTAGCTATTTTGACGCCTTTCGCTGCCAACAAACAATGCCATGCTTGAATCTTCATTCCCTGCACATAAAAACTCACGTAATTCCTTCAACTGATTGGTATCTGCTGCCATTTTTGCGGCAAATGAAAAGCACATGGTGTTGAAGTGTGCTTGCGATCCCAGTTTCAGAAGAAGCTGCTGAAACGATATGGCGCGCTGTGAATGCAGTATCACCGTGTCGAAATACATTCAATTTTTTCAATCATCTTGTAATATTCAGACATTACCGTATTTATTCGCCTATAAGCCGATCTCAGCTACAAACCAAGACCCTAAACTTTTGGGTATCAGAACCTGCTAGAAAATTATGAAAAGGAAACCCAAAACATCTAGCTATAAGCCGAGATTGAATATTTCTTTTCCACATGCACTGTTAAGTGAATAATCATAACGGCAAACCATAAAACAAAAGACGCGTCCCTCTCAGGAAACACGCAACTGTAAAATGAATACTCATTTATTCATATAATCATTATAACACATTTAATGTTATTGGTCTCTCAATTGAAAATAACTACAAATCACAGGTAAGATGAATTTAATGTGATCCGAGTTGACATTTCAGAAGTGTACAAATAAAACCGCATGCATGACAAAACATCACCTGAGTTCAGAATCCTGTCTCAAACAATCACACGCTCTTTCAAAGTTATCTGTAATCAATCATCATGCCAAAAGCTCGTCGTTCTTCGTACAACTTGGCCTTCAAATTAAAAATTGTGGCTGAGGCAGAGGCCGTTGAGAACAACTCCGAGATCGCCAGAGAATACAGGATCAGTGAGCCCATGGTTCGTCACTGGCAAAAAGATCATGCGAACCTCTTCAATGGCGAGTTGAAAATGTCAGCAAAATGAAAGAACATGGGCAGTTGTACGTCGAAGTATCCCAAGTTGGATCAAATACTTCTGGAGTGGTTTTCAGAGCAAAGAAGTCAGGCTAAGTTCTTCATTTAATTTTAAACCAAAACCAGCTGATTTCTGTCAGATCAATCGAGTTGCCATGTGTACTAAAGCCATGGGAATGACCACTTGTGATTGGTCAGTTTCCGATGTAGTCAAAACAAGTCAAAACAATGATCTAAAAATATTGCTTCTTGTTTTGTCTTTTACAGGAATTGCAGTTAGCGGATTAATTCTTCGGTTGAAGGCGAAGGAGTTATGCAGCAATCCAGAGTTTAAAGCTTCCCTGGGTTGGTACCAGAATTGGAAAAAGCACCATGCCATCAGCTTTCGAACTAAGACAACCCTGGCCTAGCGACTTCCTCGAGATTTGGAGGAGAAGACAGTCCAGTTCCATCGGTTCATGATTGCAGCTCGGCAGCGCCATGGCTATTTGCTATCTAGGATCTTCAATATGGATGAAACCACTATGCAATTTGAGCTTCCATCAAGCAGAACCCTAGAATTCAGTGGCAGCAGAAACGTTCCAGTGAAGTCCTGTGGTGCCGAGAAGAGGAGCTTTACAGTGACACTCGCAGTCGCCGCTGATGACAGCAAATTACTGCCTGCAGTGATCTTCAAAGGTGTACGTACTCCATGAGACCTCACTGTTCCAGACTTTGTTTGTGTATCGTTCCACAAGAAGGGCTGGATGGACAAGAAAGGTAAGTTATTGTTGTGTTTCTTTCTTTATTTCAAAGTTTGTTATGCTCAGATAACTGATTTTCGGAATTGTCAACGTATTTTTAACCTGAGTATATTTCTGTTATTTAGAGCGGTTTTCAATTGAGTGTCAAAAGTAATTAGACAATTACTTTGGTTTTGACTTTTGTTTTACTTCAGTCTGAGATTGGCTGAGTTGTCTAATTGGTAAATAATTGGTTTGGTTTTGGTTTTATGACACTCAATTGAAAACCGCTCTATTTCAGGTGTAAAGGAATGGATACGTACCTGTTTGCTGAGGAATCCTGGCAACAAACGGTCACTACTTGTTTGGGATTCTTTTAGAGCCCATTTGATGGAGTCCGTGAAAGCAGACCTGCAGTGGCGTAAGTTGTACGTGGCAGTAATCCCAGGTGGCCTGACTCCAGTCCTGTAGCCGTTGGACAAATACCTCAACAAACCATTCAAGGACAACATTAAGCCATAGTACCTTTCCTGGATGATGACTCGCCCTTTTGAATTCACTCCAGTGGGAAAAAAGAAAGCGCCATCTAGAAACCTGGTCCTCAAATGGATAAAGCAGTCATGGGCAGAAATTCCAGCAGAGATGGTAAGGAAATCGTTCAAAACGTGCGATATCTCGAATGCTCTTGACGGCACCGAAGATGATGAGGTCTACACTGATGATATGCCAGAACTAGCTGACGATATGGCAATGGAGGACGAGTTTGAAACTGACAGCGAAGATGATGACTGAAAACTTCATTCGTGAAGTCACCAAAACAAAATGGCTCCTTTAGGAGTCACCACTTGAATAAAAGTTTATGACCAACAGCAATAATTTTCGTATGCAAACTACCGGTAATTTGTGTTTGTTGATCATCGCTTGGCTTATAGCCGAATATAAACATTCAATTGAAGCTCTTGCAGCATTAGAATTTTTTTTTTTCAAAAATATTCGCCTACAAGCCAAACCCCCTATCTTGTAGAGATTTCACTAGTTTCCAGTTTAATTTGGTGCAAAAATTGATCAGCTTATAGGCAAATAAATACAGTATTTTACTGGGGACGGAAAGGTGAGTTGTAAACTAGCTACCATATCCGATTGATTTCCTAATATAAGGATTTAAAAACAAAAGTGTTGTGTCGTGGTTTTCTTTAGTTATCGGACAAAATGCAAGTCACCAGCTGGCGACCAGTTCTGAAAATTTAGTCACCAGTGCTCAATTTTGGTCGCATTGGCGACCAGCGAGTCGCAATTTCAAGCCCTGCATCGCTTGGATCATTGTGATGTTGATATGTACCAGCAATTCCAATTGGTCCAAGCAAAGACATGGATTGTTTGTGTCATACCAACAGGTAATTCTTTGAGAATGAAAACTAGTACCAGTCCCCAGAGGTCTAAGAAACACCTGGAACATCAACTGTCTACAAGACCAGATGGTTGTTGAAGGTTTTGGAGGCTTTTTCAAAGGCAAATCATCTTGAAACAAAATGAAGATGCAGTATTTTTCCAGATGGAGTGTTTACTAATGGTTTATTCGACGTCAACTGTATGAAATTGCACCATCGCGTAATATCAGAAGGCCTGATTCTAGCATCTTTTGATAAAGTGTTAGTACAAATCCGGTAAAGAACAAAAGAAAGAAAGAGGAAAGTTAGATGGCCATGGAACAACTGGAAGTGGTCCATGCTGCAGGAGTTAGAAAGAGTGGGCTACTTCTGGGAGAGAGCTAAGGCATCGGCAAAGAAGGGTACTGGTGGACAGAGAGCACCGGTAGACGCCCTGTGCTCCCGTGCAGGTGATAAAGGATAATGACTCATCCTTCAAAGTATAGCTGCTTGAAAAGTGCCGGAAACTGTTGCCAGCCTCCTTGACATCTCTTGGAGTAAACCTACAAGTTGTTTCCTGTGGACAGAGAAACTGGTACCTAATGCCCTCATTTTTGATTTGGAATGATACTTTGCGAACTCGAGGTCATACCACCTCAAGAACACTGAAGATTAATAAAGCAAAATCCTTCAGACTTTGCACTAACAATGACAAGACAACAGGCCATTTTCTAACTTAATGTATAGGCGCCGAGTTAAAATGGAGTGAAAAATCAGAACACAGTACCTTTGTCAGCAAAAATAATATAGGTGCAAAGGCTGAAACATCATGACTACAATAATGCATTCTTTAAGTCACTAAGTCTGTTATCAATTTATAATTATATTATTTCAAAACATAAAGTTAAAAATAAAAGCAGAGGTAACTCACTCGACCATTCCTTCTAATCTCTATTTAATGAACATTTGAACGGTAAGTATAGGCACATAGTATTAGTATGTAACTCATCAACAGATCTCAAGTAACAGTTATATCATTTTCAACAATTGACAGAAAACATTCACTGACCTGTGCTTCACTCAAACGCTCATTATCTACAGGACATTTTGGACCAGCATCCCTGAAAAAGTGATGGAGGACATTGTTAACAGTGCCTATGCAAAAGAAGGACTCATCATCTAAAAATACAGTATGCAAAGAAATGTCATCTGATAGCCCCTACAGTCACACAATTTGTATGAGGTTTCCCTCCTGAATACTAGCAGTAAATTAAGATAATGACAGGAACCCTAGAGGAAATCGAATTTCATTGGACAGGTTCTTAAAACTGCACTTTTAGCGATTCTATGAAACTGAAAGACCATTTTTCCCTTTCAGTTTCTAGGACAAGTGCTAAAATAAGCAAAACACAAAACAAGTAGGTGACATATGAAACAGCATAACAAATTACAGTGTAATTTAAATAGAAGATTAAAATCGATGGATGTTGGGGGAAAAAACTTCATAATTATCAAACAAAAAACATGGGAAATCAATAAAAGTCAAACATGGGGTTACTAGTGTTTACCAATTGCCATCGAATTTTTATGTTCGAGGTTTGATTTCCATCGATTTTAATCGAAAACTATTGTGTTGCAAAAATGAAAAGTCCAAGCGAATAAAACGAAATACACTCGCAACAGCATTTAATTTTAATCTAGCACAGGTATATCCTAAACAATTCTTATCAACAAATCCAACTAATCCATGACAATTATCGACAAGAATATCGACCCTGGGGACGAGGTTGTATCGATAAGCTTTCCAACGATCGATTATTGATCAATTTGCAGGGTCAGTTTTGGGGGCGCGGGCCCTAGAATTCGAAGGCGTCATTTTGCTCCGTAGTAGATGTATACAGCGAAAAATAAATGATAAGTCTTATGTTGTCTTTAGGCTGTGTAACATGTAACTTAAGACTTATTTAGTGGTCCGGTAGTTAGTTTAATATTCTTAGGGTAGCCCTGTGAATAACATCAGTTTCCTTATACAACGTTACTTAAAGCAATTGTTAACTTGTTCGGGGTCTCTAAAGAGCTTACCTTATAGAACGTACAATACAGCCTTTACAGAATCTGTGGCCGCAAGTTGTTTGCACGGGTTCTCGCAGCCCCAGAAGACAAATAGGACATTCATATTTGCTTTCCAACGGCGGATCAAAGTATTCGTCATAACCCTCAGACCTTGGTTCTTCGTGTGATAAGAAACGAAGCTCACTTGTCAGTGGACTGATAGGGTCAAATGAGCCTTCGCGTGAAAACAGAGAAGCTTGTTCCTCAAGCGAAAAGGAGCGAGACATAATTCTCATGCATTGTCCTGATTAGTCATTTTCTTTATGCCGTTTTCTCAGCCCAAGCACGGGAGAAAGCGAAACTTCCGACGGGGCAGTCCCCTACCCCACAATGCAAAGCGGGAAATGAGGTCAAGGTCAGGGTAATTTACCCGGAAGCTGGGAAGATTGATCGGCAGAGTATAAAGGGGTGGGTGGGTAGGGAGTGGGGAAAGAAAAAGAATTCGGGGGGAAAATACGGAGGAGTTGGGGTGCGGGCCTGCTATAAAGACCCCGATGGGTTCATTTCTGCGGTCGTTAGCGCCTGCAAAATTTTGATTGGTTAATCGGACAATAGGACGGTTTTGTGAAGTGATGCATTCTCGTCCCCAGAGTCTCCGTTTCTTTTGGTCACGTGGTCGGAGAAACCGACGGCTCTCGTAGCAGCCATTACCGGATGTCCGCAAATCGCAGACATCCGGTAACGCATGCGTAATTTTGGCCTGCATATCTGCTCATGCTCAGAAACTAGTCCTGAGGGAGGGGAGAGAGGAATAGAGTGTACTCACCAGATGTAAACAGATCGGAACATTGACATGTGTTTTCACTTCGCTGAAGTTTAAATAGGTGATTTAAAGTTAAAAAGAGAGTAGAAAGCGGCCTTAA